GGCCTTCAAGTCTAATGTGATGTAAGTACCATTAAGAAAATCTCAGTTTTCCATTAGTTAGGTTCCTTTAAATACTAGATTATTAACCGAATGCCTTACTCAGAATGAACTGTGAGGGTTTGGAGTTAGCAGTTTTGGAAGAAGGAAGGCATAATATTTCAGGACTCTAAATAGAAATGGCTCTATCCTTGGGTCATCAATGAAGACCTTCTTCTCGTTTCCAGGAAGCAATTTTGGAGGTGGTGGAAGCTACAATGATTTTGGCAATTACAACAATCAGTCTTCAAATTTTGGACCAATGAAAGGAGGAAACTTTGGAGGCAGAAGCTCTGGCCCTTATGGTGGTGGAGGCCAGTACTTTGCTAAACCACGAAATCAAGGTATAGTATATGATACGGTAACAGATGGGTAATTAAATTTGCCCTTCCCATCAACCCGGAGAAATCCTGTAAACCTTATTGGATCGTTTTACCAGATCTTTACTGAGTTCATCTGTGCTGTTAGTGTAAAATCATTGCTATTGCGACAATATTGTTTTTACACTTCCAGGTGGCTATGGTGGTTCCAGCAGCAGCAGCAGCTATGGCAGTGGCAGGAGGTTCTAATTACAGCCAGGTAAGTGCCTATTTTGTGTGTGTTGACTTAATTTTATTGAGCCCAGTAGCCTAATGTAGCTGTGCAGTACAAATAGTTAACATTATAATTGCAGTAAATGGTGGATGTTAAGTTAATATACAGTTCAGTGGAATCTGTGGGAAACAGCTTGCTCTATTGGATTGTAGCCTTGAGTCTTAATGCGTTTAGATTAACAACTTTATTCCATATTGTTCAACAGGAAACAAAGCTTAGCAGGAGAGGAGAGCCAGAGAAGTGACAGGGAAGCTACAGGTTACAACAGATTTGTGAACTCAGCCAAGCACAGTGGTGGCAGGGCCTAGCTGCTACAAAGAAGACATGTTTTAGACAATACTCATGTGTATGGGCAAAAAAACTCGAGGACTGTATTGTGACTAATTGTATAACAGGTTATTTTAGTTTCTGTTCTGTGGAAAGTGTAAAGCATTCCAACAAAGGGTTTTACTGTAGACCTCTTCTCACCCATGCTGTTGATTGCTAAATGTAATAGTCTGATCATGACACTGAATAAATGTCTTTTTTTTTCTTTTTTTTATTTTTCTTTTTTAAATGTGCTGTGTAAAGTTAGTCTACTCTGAAGCCATCTTGGTAAACTTCCCCAACAGTGTGAAGTTAGAATTCCTTTCAGGGTGGTGCCAAGTTCCATTTGGAATTTCTTTATGATTGCTTGGGTGTGGAAGCCATTGTCTTCAAAAACCTTGGTGTGGTTAAACTGCCAGTTATTGTGACTTTAAGTTTCACCATTAAAAGGATCATCATCCAAGCAACGTTACAATTTGGTTATAAAATGGTTATTGGCACACCCTACGCAATATCAAAATTGAATAATGGTATCAGATAAAATAACAGATGGGAATGAAGCTTGTGTATCATCCATTATCATGTGTAATCAATAAACGAATTTAATTCTCTTGAATGGAATGACAACTGTATGGATTTGAGACTGGCAGAGATTTGGACTTTCCCTACCCACAATACCCCTGGTAAATGTTGATTGTTTGTTATCACAGTGCAAGTTCAAAGCTCTGCCAGAGTAGAGACCAATTGCTGGTTAAGGCCACAGATTAGGAGTATTGGGGCATCTTAAAACTGATTATAGTAAGGGCTCTTAACTGCCTTAGAGCAGGCTATAGTGAAGGAAAACTGCAGTTCAATTGGGTTGTGGGTGGGTGTGCCTCAAGGTCTGTGGGTGATTTAGTTACTTAAATTCGATTAGAAATACATAATTGGTGATATTTCTGTGTATTTTTGTATTAACAGCAGTTTTCCTTCACACTGTTATCCTGAAATGTTTTCTATTTGTATAGAAAATGAATTCAAAACAGTTACTGCCCAATAATTGTTATTTGTGCATAGATTATTTCGAGCTTACCATTTGGTGCCCTTTTAAGTTCCATTGTACCTGGCAGCATAGATGATTTGTTTGCCATAGGACTTGTATATTCCATCTCATGGTGTATTACTTGGAAGTTTTGGGAGGGGGGAGGGGGTGGGTGGGGGTGGGGAGCATGGGTGGTAGTTCCATGATACTGGTTGAGTTTGCAATACCAGGTGGAACCTTAACTATTGAGGGAGTTTGCAGATACCTCAGGAATCGTGACAATGCCTTTAAAGATCCAGGAGATGTTCAGCTACTAGGAACTGCTAGCAAGTATAGCGCGAATGGCTTCGAGCTCAGAAAATCTACAGCTGAGAGTAGACACTTGTGGTATGTGGAGTACAGATAAGCCAGGGGCAGGCCACGGCACCTCCATGAAAGCTAGGAGGGAGTGAAGTTTGAGTGATCATCGCAAGGAAGGAGGCAGACGAGAGTAAGGCACACACCTGACTCTTAGGACTAGCAGGCAGAACCAGAAGGAAAGGTTTTATTGCTATGCTGGTAGGTAAGAACAGATTTTACTTACATCCATATAGTTATAAAAGTCCAATTTTCTGTTGGATTTTCCTTAATGTATTGAGCCAAACTAGTCCAGTTAAGCTGCACTTGGTTTTTCTGGAGATGAATTGTTTTAATTAATGCCCATATTACTCCTACTTGGAGGAAATGAACACATTTATTTCTCTTGTGAAAATACATTTTGACCCTTTAATTTTATTTAACCTTCCTTTGACCCATTTTCTTAAAGCAATGGCTCAAAGTAATATTAGACACTTATTCCCCAAAATGGTGGGAGGATGGGTGGATCATTAGGGGAGGGGGTGGGGAATAGCTTAAGGATGGGAATCGGCTTCACAAAAACTAGTTCTAAAGTTTGTTTACTTTTCTAGGAAGGAATCTGCTACAAGGTTTAACCACTGTTGTAAAATTTTTAGAAAGACTTCAAGTTCCTGCTTAAAGGTAGGTTTTTATGGTTGGTGATTTACTACCTAAAAAGTTAAGTCAAGCTGCAGTTAAAAACCAAGAGATACCTGGTTTCTTTGTGGCTGGCAGTTATTAGATCAACAAGAGAGTATCCACTGGGGGTGAGTTGGGTAGATGATTGTGGAATCCAGCACTGTTCTGTTGAGCTACATAACGTCTCCTCCTCCCTTACAGGAACAGCCTTTACTCTGGGCCGCTGTGCTTCATTTTCACTGCTGTGCAGTTGGGACTTTAACTGTGCTGCTAATCATTCAGTTTTGTGAATGCCTCTGGTTTTTAAATAAACAGCAGTTAATTAACTTGGTACTGTTTTTTTGTTTCCCTGTGGCATTTATGGTGGGTGGCTTGATCTGTATTCTATGCAAATTCCAAATAAGCTTGAATTTTTAGCAGGACAAGTCTGAATCATTTCTAACTCAGGTTTCTTTGGCTCTTAAGTTACATTTTGGGTGCATTGATGCATTGTGAGTTCACGTATGAGGGAGTAGACTGGTCATCACATGTCCCTGAGAACCTAGCAAGAATAAATTGACCATCTCTGCCTGGGTGGGGTAAGGGAGTTCTGTTGTGAGGAACCCAGAGCATGAAGGGAAATGCAGAGATAATAGTTGTGCTCAGTGGTAGATAAAGAAGTTGCTGAGCAGTAGTTGGATGTGCAGCCAGAGACCCATATAGGATTTTGATTTTTCTTGGGGGGGGGGCACTTCTGAAGACTGTCCTTGGCTGGCCTTATAATCATACTTACAGATAATGTAGTACATGTAGAGATTTATGTCAGTCCTTTACCTCTTAGGACTGGGAGCATAATATGCTTGGGCCACTATTTTCATTCATACTGCTTTTTGTGAGCTTCCATAGAAAGTATTGCTAGGCCAAAAGTTAACACAAAAGGAGGTTTCTGTAGCCTTCATTTGGGTCTCATTCTGTTTTTCCTCTTAGGATAGAGGCAGTAAATGAACAGGCTACAGCTAAAATTCTCCCAGTATAATCCCAATAATGTGATTGGGAGAACAGCCAAATTGTGCTTTTAGATTTGATAAGCATACATCTGCCTGCCTCTGCCTTTCTAGCGCTGGGATTAAAGGTGTGCCACTAGTGCCCAGCTTTGTTTAAGACAATATCTTTGCCTGGCCTAGAGTCTACCCCTGCCTTTATCCTGAGAGCACAGTTTTTCCAAAAGAAAGACAAGGTGGATCCTGAGCTGGAGTTGTGCAGCACGCCAGCAGCTTGTAAGGTCAGGTTGAGGAAGATGGGGAGCTCAAGGTCATTTTCCACAAAACAGGTGTTTGTGGGACCTTGCCCACGTTAGAGTTAACCCTGTACAGTTCCTAGCACTCCAATTCTGACCTCCATAAATTTCCGCATGAATACAATACATGCATTCAATCATACACAATGTTTTTTAAAAAGGTGGTGTGGGCTGGGTATGGCGGTACACAATCTCAGCACTTTGGAGACAGGCAAATGGAGTTGGTAGCTGTCTTGGTCTACGTAATGAGACCCTGTTTCAAATCTAGAAAGGTGGAAATGAGCCCCTGGCATGAGTTGGATAGCTTTTGTCTCAACCAGGGATTACCTCATCACTTGCCTAGCGTTCTGGAGGCTCAGTGCACAGCCTTAAGAAGGCTGTACAGGACACACTTGACTGGAATATTTCATCTCATTCCAGTCAAGAACAGTCAGTCCCCTTGGTCAGATCCAGGATGATAGGGAAGCAGGAGAAAAGTAGGGATTTGTGTTTGCATGTGCTCCAGAGACTGGGAGCAGACTTTACACAGAAGAAGCAGCCCTGTCTGATAGCTCTTGTCATTTGTAAATTGGAGGCCACCAAGGACTGTGGAGTTCCTCAAAACCTCCATGGCGTCTGGTAGGAGGTATGAATGGGGGTGGATAGATTGTCTTGTGGCTCATGCCCACATTCTGTGCTTCAAATGAGCTCAGGATTCCTTAATAGCTCTGGCCTCAAGGAAGACACAATAGAAACCTTATCTCCACACAGCTCTTTTATGGACCAATTAGACAAGAAGTAGAGGCGTGGTGGGACCTGGGAAGCCAACACTTCCTGGCTTCCAAGTAAACCTCACCAAACATACCTTGGAACATCCAAATGCTAAGGTTACACCTGCCCTCTTGGTTGGAGAACTTCCTGGTCCTGAGGTTGAAATACCTAGGGGAAGGCCTAGCACCATTGTTGGTCTTCTCTAGGCCCACTCAATCTGAGGCCTCTGTCTTTGTCCCACGGGGTACCAGAAAGATGGCCCCATCAGCAGCCTGTTGGAGTACATATTCCTCAGGTGAATAGCTGTTGCCAGATTCATCCCGAAGATGCTGAAAAATGTCGTGGTATAGCTCTGCCAGCTGTTGCCGCATGACCTCCAGAGTACGGTCAGCTTCTCCTCGCGCTCTAAGAAGCCGCTCTCTCTCGCTGCCCAGCCGCTCCAGCTCCCGCTCTAACTGCACAATGGTTTCCAGTTTTCTCTTGCGACAATTCTGGGCTGCCACCTTGTTCTTGCCCCGCCGTCGAATGTCCCGTACTAGAGCCAGCTGGCTCTCTGTTAACGGATACTGTGCCAACAATTCATTAAAGTCATCTACAGGCAAGTTGACGATCTTGTCCGTAGGGAAGGGAATCTTCATGGCTAGTGCCCGCCGCTCATCCCTACTCCCCGCCTCCCCCCTGACAGTAGGCTTAGCCCGCACAGGGCCAGAGGATGACTCTAAGGCCAAGGGTATCTCCGTGGGTGGCAAAGTATAGTTTGGGTGGGCCAAGGAGCTGGGCATATGGGAGTAAGGGTACTCCACTGGGTACATGTCCACATACTCATTCCTCCGTCTGCCAGCCTCTGCGCCCTCTAGCTCAAGAGATTCTGCATCACTGTAGTTGAGGGATAATCCCGAGTCAGATTCTGGGTCTTCTTGGGGCTTGGGTGGCCCCACTGGCAGCCCAATGTCTAGAAGAGCTAAGGGGTCTGGGAGGGACTCGTTCAGCAGGCCTGAAAGAGTGAGGGGCTTTGACACTGGGATAGCCATGTTGCCATAGGAGTATGGGAGGTCTGGGACAGGGGGAGTGGATGTTGGGAGCTCATAATGTGGTGGGGGTAGGGAGAAGCCTGTATCTGGGTGAACTGAACAGGGGCAGTATGTTGGAGGTGGCAATGGTCCAGAGTATGGGGTAGGTACTTGGGGCTCAAAGGATGGCTCACTTGGAACATTTAGACCCTGCAGAGAAAGATACAAAAAAGGTTAGAAGATGGACTGAGATGGGTGGTGGTGGTGCACACCATTAATCCCAGCACTCAGGCAGAGGCAGATCAATCTTCCAAATCCCAGGATACCCTGATATACAAAGCAAGTTCCAGGACAGCTTGCTGGCACGGAGGCACAGGCTTATAATACCACCATTGGAGATGTGGAAACAGGAGGGTCAGGAGTTAAGGTCAGTCTTGGCTACATAGCAAGTACAAGACCAGCCTGGGCTGTGTGAGACCCCATTTCAAAAAAATCGAGAGTGGGGCTGAAGGACTGGCTAACTGGTTAAGAGCAGTAGCTTCTCTGCAAGAGGTGGCAGCTTATACCTGTCTATAACTCCATTTTCAGGAGATCCAACACCTTCACACAGACACACACATGCATGCAAAACACAAATGCACATGAAATAAAAATAAATAAAATCAAGAGGTCCTAATCCAAGCACTCAGAGGGCAGGAGCAGGTGTAGCTCTTGAGTTCAAGGCCATCCTGGTGTGTGTGTGTATATAATATATATACTGCAAACTCCAGGGCTACCTAGTGAGTTCAAGGCCATCCTGATATATATATACTGCAAACTCCAGGTATATATCCTGGTGTGTGTGTGTGTGTGTGTGTGTGTGTGTGTATATATATATATATACACATATATATGAATATATACATATATATGTATATATACTGCATATATATATATATACTGCAAACTCCAGGGCTACCTAGTGAGTTCAAGGCATCCTGGTATATATATTATATATACTCCAGGGCTACCTAGTAAGTTCAAGGCATCCTGGTATATATATATATATACCAGGGCTACCTAGTGAGTCCCTGTCTGGGAAAAAGAGACAAGACATGGTGGCACACATCTTTAATCTCAGCACTAGAGAGGCAGAGGCAGCCAGCTCTCGAGTTCAGGGCCACGCTGCTCTACAGAATGAGTTCCTGGACAGTAAGGGTTACACAGAGAAACCCTGTCTCAGGAAAAAGAGAGAAAAAGAAAAAAAAGTAGGGGGGGCTGGAGAGATGGCTCAGTGGTTAAGAGCATTGCCTGCTCTTCCAAAGGTCCTGAGTTCAATTCCCAGCAACCACATGGTGGCTCACAACCATCTGTAATGAGGTCTGGTGCCCGCTTCTGGCCTGCAGAAACTGTATACGTAATAAATAAATAAATAAATAAATAAATAAATAAATGGTGCCCGCTTCTGGTCTGCAGAAACTGTATACGAAATAAATAAATAAATAAATGAATATTTTTTAAAAAGAAAAAGAAAAAAAGAAAAGTAGGGAGGATGAGGAGGAAGAGCAGTTTCAGCAGGAATAAAGTCTCTGTGGTGAAACCTCAGAGGAAATCTCTGAGTGTTACAGAGCCTCCTCCTCACTGGGCCAAAAAGCTCCTGGTCCTTTACTCTCTTCAGAAAGTTAAAACCATTGTTATCCAAGATGGACCCTCAGAACCCTTTTCCTGCTGTGGTTATCTAGGGTCAAAGGGTCAAGTTCAGGGCCGCACCATTCTCTGGGCGTCCAGCAGAGGGAGCTGGTGTGTGGGAGGAGGGTCTAGGGCAGATCCTGAGGACACCAGGCCTGAGGTGGGGGGCAGGCACAGAGCCCAGGTTGGGGTTAGCCCTCTGTCCAGGCCCAGGTGCAGTGAGAAGAACACATGTTACAAACAAGGCCCCCAGCTTATGGAGGAGAGCTATCCCCAAGCCCAGCTGAGGACAAAGGCGTCATTGTTAGACCAACAGACATCCCTTTGTCCAGCATTCAGGAGAGGACCCCAGCATAGTCTGAGTCCCCTTTCTGAGGCCCTTTAACTAAAGTTCTGCTACCTGGAGGAAAAGAGCTCATTGCTAAGGGTGAGGAGTGATAATGAGGGAAGACGGGCAGTGCTGGGAGAGAGGCAGATGCGATGAGAAGAAAATAAAGAGAGAGGGGCAGAGAAGAGGGCAGAGAAGGGTGAACAGTGCAGCTGGGCATGAGCCCACACCCCCAGCCAGAACCTTCCCTTCACACCCCACCCCATGTTCCTCATTGTCCCTCTCTACTCTCTGTTTCTGCAGTGCCCGCCCCATACTCACCTGCAGCTCAGTAATGGACATGATCTCTTGCCAAGTCAGTTCCATCTCACCCAGCTCCCCAACAGGCAGCTGTGACAACCTGTTCCTGTTCTGCTGGGGAGGACACGGGGGCATCCTACTGTGCCAGCTGCTGGCCCTGGTTCCCCCAAAGTTCAAAGAGCTCCAGCAACCTGTGTGGAAGGAAGAAAGAGTTAGAGCTGCTTCTGCCAGATCGAAAGTTTGTTCTGTCCCTGTGCAGAATTTCCCAAAGAAAGCAGTCCACTCCTGCAGGCCCATCAGCCATCCCGCAAACTGAGAGTTTCTCTGTGAAATAGTCCTGGCTCTACTGGAATTCACTTTGTAGTGAATCCTAGCCTCAAATTCAAAGCCTCCCGAGTGCTGGGATTAAAGGCAGCGCTACCACCACCCAACTGTAAAGTTCTTTTCTGTGGCATACTCTCTACCTCACCTGCTCTGGCCAGAGTCCTCTGGGTACACAGTAGGCATCTTTACTTTTTCCCAGACAAGATGTCTTCTCTTACTCCCTAGAAACGGGGTTCTTGTTCAGAGATAAAGATCCAGTCTTCTGAGGTTTTGAGATTGAGGTTTAGTTTTCCATTCTGGAGGAAAACATCAAGATCACCCATGCCTTCCTTTTGGGTCCTCAGTTTTGTTGTTTGAAATACAGGGTCTCACTATGTAACCCTGGCTGTCCTGGAACTCGCTCTGTAGTCCAGGCTGGCCTCCAATTCACAGAGACCCACCTGTCTCTGCCTTCTGAGTGCTGGGAGTATAAGAGTGAGAAACCATGCCAGGCATTTCAGTCCTTTCCTTTCTTCCCAAGATGTGAGAGAGCCTTGGGAATGCCCAAGGCCTGTGTTATGGGAAGCACAGGCAGACAGCCCCTCCCCTTGTCTTAGATAGGCCCAGGCCTGCTGGTGATAGCAGCCCTGCCCTCTACTCCCATCCTTACTCTGGGCTCCCCTGCCTGGGCCAGATAAGAGGTTTATCAGCAGCAGGCAGCAGTGGGCAGCAGAGGAGGAATGGGCTCCAGGAGAAACTAGACCTCTACCATGTATCCCAACCAGGTCATTTGACCATGCCCCACCCCATATGACCGTGGTTCCTTTCTCTTCCAAGGTCAACACACAGCAAAGACTTAGCAAGCACTTGTCAAGAATTGTGCCGGCATTTTATAAGCACAGTATATCAGACTGGGCTTCATAAAGACCTTGCAAGAGGTAGGAGGCAGGCACTGAAGCCTAAGCTGATTGGTGGCAGGTTAGAACCTGATCATATATATCCCTTGCTGCTTTCTAGGCCCCTTTAGTTCTCTAGATGCAAGCTGTCCACAACCCATACCTCTATGGGCAGTCTACCCCAGCAAGTTCCCATGATATCTCAGACCCTTTTCTTTTCTGGGAAATGTCTTTGTGGGCTCTCAAGTACTGCCAATCCTTCAGTCCCCCTTCTTTTAATCTGGGCTCTAGCTTCAGTTCTGCTACAAAGCAGCAGTGTGGTAGTTGGGCAAGTCACCTTACTGCTCCTGGTCGGTGCTCCCAATTGTAAAGCCAGGGAGTTAGACAACTGGAAGAATTCCTTGCTGCTGGGACAGTTCTCTTCCAACTCTTACCCTGGCTTTCATCATCTCCTATTGGTCCACGCCTCTCTTCACCCTACCTCCATACTCCCCATTACCCATCTCTATCTGAATCCATTCCTTCTGTGTCCAACAGTAGATTCCAAGTAGACTTGGCAAGGTTCTCCTGATCTCTCGGGGCACAGCATGTCCACGTATGCACATCCACACTACACACCATATAAATAAAGAACAGAGGCTGGGACTGGATGACTTCGAGTTGTATTGTATAATTTTACATCACCCGCCACAAGAATAAATAGCCCATTCCTGCTTTTCATTATAGAAACCCCTCTTGGACCTACCACAAAATGTATAGAGCTACTACCAAGTGTCTTTTTCACAGCTGATCTGCCTGAGGCCCAGCCTCCACCCTCTTGCCAGAATACCATCCTCAGAAATGGGAGTTGGTATAGGCACAGGCCTTTGACCAGTGGTAGAATGGGTGGGGTGTTTATGTCTGTCCAGCCCAGGATGCCATTTCAACACCGGAACTCCACCCTCCCCACCCAGGTTCTGGCGGAAATTGCCCAAAGACAGGGTGAACGAAGAAGGACTTTGGGGTGGGCAGGGACCACGACTATTGCCTCACAGTTCCTCACCGGCTCTACCCCTCTGTCTCTGCTTTCTGCCTGCGTCTGAATCTGAGGAGCAACACAAAGATCTTGCCCTACAAGGCAAGGTTCTCTACTCTTCAAGATGCATGACCTTGGACAAATTGTGTCACAGTCTCCAGGTAAATGAAGGCAGGACTAGAGAACTCACTGCCATAAACCTTACTGTGCAGCACATTTATTTGGGGTATGTGGAAACATTCCTGAAGGTCATCCAGGAATTGAATTCATGTGTAGACACCTAAGAACAAATGTCCAAGACATTTTCACACAAAGATCAATCTTGCCTCAAGAAACACAGATTTGCAAGAGAGAACACAAAGTTAGAAGGGAACTGCAAATGCCCTATAGTTTCCACCTAACTGCAGACCCCAGGCAAGGGTAGACTCCAGGGGGAACCTAGCTATCAGTCCTTTCCCACGAAGACCTGGAGGTGGCTCCCCTCTCTGTACTTGGGCTTCTAAAACAGAGAGAGGGTAGAGGGGGCAGGAAGAGGCTGGAGGAAATCCCTGGACCATCACTTGCACCAGACACAGGCCCTTTGGGTCTTGGAAGGCAATCTTTCAGAGGACCAGCAAACTCGCAGCCACTAGGAGAGACCAGGAGTCAAACATGTTCAAACAGAACACCAAAGAGGGTACTGAAAAGAGACAAGGATTGTGGGCTAGGCTTCTCAAGGGGCCCTTGTTTTTAGCAAAAGCAGCTCTTGTTTTACAGTTTAGCCCTTATCTTCAGGTCGTACAATAACTGAATCCATTGGGCTGGTTAGTCTCTTTAGTCTTCAGTAGTGTGGGTCAGGTAGAATTTGAACCAACCTCAGAAACTAACCTCCATCCAGCCTTCCCCTTTCATCCTGGTGGTCCTACCCACTTTCCTCTTTCTTCCCCCTTCTCTCTTCCTCCCTCCCCCTCCTCTTTCCCTTCCTCCTGGCCTCTCTCCAGATCACTCCAGAATCTTGATGCCCAGCCATCACTCTACCACTAAGATGCATCCCTAGAATTCTCCAAAGATCATGGTCTCTAGGACTTCACAGAATATAAACTTTCTGATGAAGGATTCGGGATCATTTGGAGAAGGAGGGAGGGGAAGACATTTTACCTTTCACTGCTAGCCCAGGACTTTTAACTTCTTTGATAGGGAGCTTGCCCCAGGGTGCTTTATAGAGGCTTCTTAGGTTACTCCTCCTCTCCTCGTGTCAACACAAACAATACGAGTAAAATTTGGTGTGTAAATTAGCAGGTAAGCAACCTAGTTACAAAGATTAGAGGATATTTCCCAAAAGGGAGAGGCACACAGGTGAAAGCGAGAAATCAATAGAATGAAGAGGGAAGAAAAAACGGATCCCTAGAACTCAAACTCTGGCTCTTTAGAAGCAATGGATAAAGGCTGCATCCAGCAGATCTGGTAGCTCTGTCTCCCACAGCATCTCAACCTGCAGCTACAAGCAGCCAAAACTTCCCAAAGAAGCTTCTATACTCGGTTGGACACTCTCCTCTTGGCAGATCCAGCTTACCTCCACTGACCCAGGACTGGAGAGGAAGGGAAGCAACCAGCAAGAACTCAGCTCCTCTCAGGCAACCACCCCACCTCTGCTGTAGCAAGGCTTCTCAGAAGTTCACATATCCAATATCTACAGTTCCTATGTTTGCCGCAAACGCAAATCTCAGATGGCCGGAGCTACAGAATGCAGTGGGGAGGGGACATGGTGGCACCATATTCCTGAAGCCTCCTAGCTCCCCTCGACAGACAACAGGCCAATGGAAGAATTCCTTCTAGTTACTCCCCTGCTCCTCCAGGGTGCCTCGACCTAACCTCAACCTTCTACCCCAAGGATCCCAAACAGACAGAAAGCCATCCAAAGTTATCATCAGTTTCCTACACCAGCGCCAATCTAGGAAGATGTCTTAGGAACGTTCAGACAGAAAGTTAAGTATTCCTCCTTGTATCTTCTCCACCTGCCCAGCCTCCCTCCTCAGATGCCACTGAGGGCTCCCTCCCCCTACTCGCCTTTCAGGCACCTGTGGCGGATTCCAAGACGGGCAGGAGAGAGATGAGGCTGCGGGTACTGTCCCTGGGAGGCTGGGTCAGAGCTGACACCTCCAGGGCGCTGAGCGCTGCCTCTGAGCGCCGCCAAGGGCCGAGCCCCGCCCCCGGGCCATGGCTGAGCAAGGAACACCGGTTAGCCCCGGTAGAAGCTGGTACACAGGCGGAGGTCTCTCCGAAGCCCTCGGCCTGAGTTAGCAGTTCTTCCAGTTCTTCCTCCAACCCTTCCCTTTCCCCGTGGCCCTCCTCTCCTTCTGCCCCTTCTGGCCAAGAGAGGAAACTTGAGCCCGGTGTGGTTTCTGCCTGCACCCCGCCCCCCAACCCCCCCCCCTCCGCCTCTCTAGGGCCATGGGGGCACCCGGGGCTCACATACTCCCGGCTGTCTCCAACAGGTCTAGGACTGTGAGCTCCCTGTCCGGGCTGACTTCCCAGCCGATGGCTCCACTCACAAGTGACCCCTAAGTTTAATACAGTGATCAGCCTCCTCCTTTTCCCAGGTGGTGGTTCTTAATGACAGATAGGGAAACTGAGTAAGGCAGAGGGCAGCAGACAGTGGGGATCAAGTTTCTGAGTCCAGTTTGCTCAGGGCAACAACCTTCACTTCTAGAAAGCCTGGGCTCTAAGAAAGTTATTTTGGGGATGAGGGACTGCTGGCTGCCTGGAGGGACCCTTTATGTGCAACCTGCCTCTCCCTAGCCGCAGATGCTCTCAGACAAAGGCTTCTTTTTCAGCCACATTTATTTATTTAATGCCAATGTTTATGGAGGTTTTGGGGGAGGGGTCCTTAGGCGGGAGGCTGTCCTGTTGGGTGATCATTAGTCTCCCTAAAAGGGATCCTTCTTTCTTCCAGGCCAGGACACA